TCTCTCAGTACTCCTTGTGGGATAACACCGAAGTGGGCTTACTAGGAAGTGTTCTACAACACTGGGGAAGCCTGGATGTCGATCTTGGGTTCTCCTTCACCCCTGGAGAAACCATACCACAGGGGACCCTTTTGGTGTGGCTCCATGTCAGCCTGGGGGAGGGGTGATACTGTCACATTGTAGTCCCTCCTCCTACCCATCTAATGGGGTCTTTCTTGGTCTCTGTGGGGCAAAGGGGAGGTTTAGCCTCACTTTCGGATTCTGGTATCTTCTTAAAGATGTCGTATCTATGGACAGTTGCTAGTTGGTCTTCTTGAGAGTAGGACGAAAAAGGAGCACAACCTGCATCATCATTTTGATGACATTATCCACTTTTTTAAAGATGTGTTTTACTAAGTAAAACCCTTAAGGAAAATTTATTTGAATGTATTTTTTGTTAAAATATGCTTACATATGCATAAGAAAAAGGGATTTGGAAACATAAGGAACATTATGGACAGTCATGTTTTTTCAAAACTACACTTCAGTAGTTAACAGCACAGACTATGAATCTATACTGCATGGGTTCATATTCTAGTCGATTGTTACCTGTATGACTTTGGACTACAACCTGGCTTCTCTATGTCTCAGTCACCTTATCTGTAAACTGGGGAAAATAATATTATATATAACATAGGTGTTTTTCTGAGGATTAAATTAGTTATTACATGAGAAGCACTTATAACAATGCCTGACACAAATTGATTATATTCTGACTCAAACAATTTCAAATCATGTTTTAAAAATAAATAGAAAAATGATTTGCCTTTTGAAACATGTTTACCCCACACTTTAAAAAGAATTACAAGTGAATATAACAGTGCAAAAAAGTGAACAAAACTGTAAACTAGAGATGGATTGTGGAGGGTTAAAGTGGAAAAGATCTCACAGTGTTCATGACAGCGTGATGATTTACTTCGTAATTAAACTTTGAATAAATGTATGATAAATAAACTCTTCTGAATGTGTGAATATATGACTGTAAAAATAGTCCTCCCATAGGTTTGATTTAACATGGAAACAAAAATCCACTATGTAATTCAGCTGGTTTATAAAAATGATGACCTATACGTACCTTAATATACTATGTAAGTACTGCAAATAGTATTGTGTAATATTAAGTGACATGGATATATGTCAATAAGGCATTTTAGGAAAACAACAAGTATTGGATATGTAGATATAGGTATATGCACCTAAGTCTATGCATATATAAGTGTCAAGTGAATGATTATATAACTAAATTTACATGTGGTATCTACTCAGTAGTAGGATTATAGTTATGTTCCATTTTATACAACCTGTTTAACAATACATTATGAATTTTCTAGGATTTGTATGCCTAGAAAACAGAAGCAAAAAGAAAAAAATGGAATTACAAGTAAAATTTTAAACTATGAATTCTGTTTTATCCACTGAAAACATAGAAAAGTTTAATATAAATTCTAATACCAAATTCAGAGCCCCGTGCAAATAACTGGGTACACATTTATACTGAAAATAACAATAATACTGTAAGTTGACATAACTTTATAAGTGGAAATTTGACCATAAGGTGTAGTCTGGGAAATATTCTACTTTCTTCTGCTTTTTTCCTCTCAAAGTGCTTGCTATAGAAAAAATTATGGATGTGACTGTAAATTTAGGTAAAAAGTAACAAATATAGTGGTTTTAAATTAAAAGAGAATTGGAACCAAAGAAAATAACAATGTAGGAATTAAAGAACAAATTGATCCATATACACAATAGGTTCAAAGGTCATTGTAAATAATGTGAAAAAATAAACATGAAAATATATCCAAGGTTTATTACTAAATATTTTGAAACAATATAAAGGTGTAAAGTGTGATATATCTTACATATAATATATATATGTAATCATTATGTATTATAAAATGCAATATCATATATACACATATGTATACATAAAATTTTTTATTTGTGTTAGCAATGCTTTTATTTTCTTTATTTTGCCTAACAATGCCATGTGATTTTTTTTAGTGAATTTATATTCCCTGAATAACAAGCAAAACATTTTTTAAAAGTTGGAAAAGGAAAAGAAAAAATTAGCTATTTTTGGTAGCATTTTGTCAGCATAAAATAAAGTTTATAATATCCAGGGAGAAATTTGTGCAGTAAAATGAGCATTCCTCCAACATATCAGTGGAAATGCAAATTGGTATATCCAGGACACTTGATGGTACATTAAAGTCTTTTTAAGGCTTCTACTTTTCAATTCCAGTTCTTTGCATTTATGAAAATACAATAATTCTGTGGCAAAATTATTCACCACAGATTTTAGTTTAATGGGGAAAATTTAGAAACTAAAGTCCAAAGTAAAGAACACTTTAAAAAAAATTCTGATCCACCTATACAATGATAGTGAGTTGTGGGAGAATATTAAATGGCCAAAGATGTTTTCGATGTATTTACAATATATTGGAAATGAAATTTTGACAGAATAAATTGTGATCCTATATTTGTTTTAAACTTTATGGAAAAATAGGAAAAAACCTGTAAAGGCAAAAAATAATATCTTTAAAGTGGTTGTTGTGTATATTTAATATGTGTATCATCCTTATCAAGCAATGTACTTGTAAAGTTAAATAATAAAAGAAAAAATCCACAAGCCTAACCCATTTCTCATAACAAAAAAATACTAATCTGAGAAGATGAGCAGTGAAATATACTCTTTTGTACTGTTAATGGTCATAAGCTTCATGGTAGAAGCATTTGGCAACAGACTGGCAAGATATATAAGGCAATTAAATATCTCAATGTCACCAAATATTGAGTTACAAATGTGTTCCCTGTTGAATTAATCATACTGGGAAAAATCCAGAACAATTTAATGTATACCAAGGAGCTGAATTCTAGAAATTATAGTTCATCCATAAGATGGAACATAAGTAAAGACAAAATTAGAGCATATTTAATAATTTGGAAAGATGAGAAAGAACAATTACAGTGAAAGTCTCCCATAATGAAAAAATTCATGTTACATTTTTGAATATATTAGTTTTTAATGTACATGTTTCATGTGTTTCATATTTTTTGTCAAGTGATAGAATTAAAAGTGATTTAAGATTTTTTTCCTTATTGTTCAAAAGTGTCTACTATGATACTGTACTATTTTTATAAAAATAAATGTTTAAAATAAAAAAAGCTACAGTTCCCCTAATAAAATATTGGGAGAGTGCAGAAATTATTGAAATACCAAGTCCAGAAAAGTAAGCAAGTTTCCAAGTCCTCTCACATTATTTATGTACTTGATGAGGGTAAACTGATTTTTGTGGGCAGTCATTTAATAACTAAACAACAAAAAAGATTTAAAACCTTCCAACCTTCGACACTTTAATTTTTCTTTTAGCAATGTTTGTTCGGGAAATGACCTTGAATGCAACTAAGGTTTGTGCACTAATATTATTAGAAGCTTGAGTTGGATAAGGAAAAAATAACAGAAAACATACAAATATTCAACAATGAGGAAGTAAGGAAAACAACTATTCCCATACTTATATCTAAATATGGATATATATGCATAAAATATCCATCTATTCCACTATTTAGCCCATCCGCTGGAAAACTAAACAGCCATGAAAACTATTTTAGAAGAATATTTAATGAAATGAAAAGAAGTTCAAGAATATCTATCTATACAACAATATCCCTATATATTATATATTCATGTGTGAAAAAGCAGATATTCAAACAATATATACATTAAAATTCACATATATATCACATGAAAAATACTGGCAGGTGCAGATGAAAATGATTCAGAAAGTTATAGTCATTAGGGTGGAATACTGGAGGCATTCTTCTGTTAACTTGTCTGCTTTGTGATGTTTTTGCTGCGATGAAGCTGAATTATTTTTCTGACCATGGGGAAAAGGGCAGTAAGTGGACACAGGGGAAGGAGGTAATAAACAGTATTTAAATCCAGGAAAACAATCAAGGACAGCAAAATGCCATTTGCAGCCCACGAGGCTGGCACGCGTGCGCACGCACACACACACACACACACACACACACACACACACACAGAGTCAATTACAGTGACTAGGAGACTATGCAGGGAAAATGGACATACTCTTTTTACTAGCTGTGCTGGCTGGCATGAATGCAAATTGGTACAATGCTTATGAAGGGGCCATTTGGCAACACACAGGAAATGTCTTTAAAATGTCCACATGTGGATCCTGCAAGTCCATAATTAAGAAGGCCATCCAGTATGCTAGCGGAGATTTGGCTTGACAGGGAAGGGTTCACTCATCAGAGTACGCAGTGTTGGGTTTAAACACAGGGAGAGAACTAGGCACCACCTGAATGTCCAACAGTGCGGGAATGATTACAGAAATGTTAAGGTCCATGGATACACTCGGCAGGCACTGAAAATGACGTTTCGGAAGCCTGTTGAATAACATGGAAAGAAGTTCAGTGGGTTGATTTTTGTTTGGTTTTAGTTTCTGAAAGCAGGTTAAGAAACAGCACATACAGGAACCATTCTATAACAGTGTGTTAAAAGGGAAGGTGGGGTGGTGGTGAGGAAGGGCAGAGAGGAGAGCCTGGAAAAACAGCACACCAAAAAGGTAAAAGTGGTTGTCTCTGGGTGGTAGGATCACGGGGAGTAACTGCTTTCTTGGTTTTGCCTCATCTGATTTCCTTCTCCTTATTGATGTTTCTACCATGAAATTGTTATCACCTGTGTAGTAAACAAAGCGAGAATGAAAGTGCTTTTAAACCAAACCACAAGGAGAAGAGGCAGCCTGTAACCTATCAAGTGGCACAGATTAGCAAGGTTATTCACAACGCCCTTGACGGGTTGGGGTAAAGGGAAGGGAAGGGAGAAGACAGGAGAGGGGAAGAAGGGAGGGGAGTGGTGGGAAGGGAGGGGAGGGAAGGGGAGGGGGGAGAAAGGGAGGGGAGGGGAGAAGAGGGGAAGCCAGAGGAGGGAAGGGGAGAAGAGAAAGAGGGAGGGGTGGAGACTGGAAGAGAGAGAGAGAGGAAAGGGGTGGGGAGACAGAGAGAGAGACCTGCACTCCCAATACAATACACTGCTGGTGGGTTAAGGGGTCAAAGGGAGGGTTGTAAACCGGGTGGGAGCCAAGGGTTGGCTCTGCTGGCTGGCCCGCTCCCGAGATGTCTTCATCGCAAGGTGGCCTCCTCGTCAGTGTCTTCCTCGAAATCCTTGACGTCAGCACTGGTGGACTGCCTGGCCCAGGCTCCCCTTTCCGCCTCTCGTTCTTTGTGCGATTTGAACCTCCCAACGAAAATTTTGCGGTAGTTCAGGAACATTCCATTCATCGCGTCGATGGCCCGCTCGGCTGATTCCTGTTTCTGGAAGTGCACAAACCCGTAGCCCTTGGGCCCCTTTTCGTCGCAGGCCACTTTGCAGGAGAGGATGTTGCCAAACGCCGAGAAGATGTTGTACAGCGCCTTGTTGTCGATGGTCTTGCCCAGGTTCTTGATGAAGACGTTGCCCACCCCGCTCTTGCGGAGCGATGGGTCCCGCTGCGACCACATGATGCGCACTGGCCTGCCCTTGATGACATCGAAGTTCAGGGTCTCCAGGGCCCGCTTGGCGTCCACTGGTTGCTGGTAGTTGACATACGCGTAGCCCAGCGAGCGGCGGGTAATCTTGTCCCTGCAGATGCGGATGGAGAGGATGGGCCCGGCCGGGCTGAACTTCTCGTACAGCATTGCCTCTGTCACCTCAGGGTGCAGGTCGCCCACGTACAGTGAGGCCATAGGAAAGTCTGGGTTCCCCTCGGAGCCCCCGCCCGTCTCCGCATCTGCATCTGCAGCCGCCGCCACCCCTACATCCGCATCCGCATCCGCATCCGCCTCCCCCTCCCCCAAGGGGGGCGCCGCAACCTCTGCTGCAGAGCCTGCTTCGGCTGCGCTGGCCTCGGCCACAGCCGCGGCCGCGGCCGCCAGGGCGGCCTCCGCCTCCTCCCCTGCCAGGGAGGCCGCTGCCTCCCGCAGGTTGGCCTCCGCCACTGCCTCCTCTACTGAGGCCTCGGCCTCCACTTCAGCCTCCACCTCTGCTTCCGCCTCTGCCACGGAGGCCTCTGCCACCGCCTCCGCCACGGTCGCCGCCGCAGCCTCCGCCGCCGCCGCCGCCGCTGCCGCCACCGCCGCCGCCACTGTTGCCGCTGTCGCCACGGTCGCCGGTGCCGCCAGGCCGCTGCCGCGACCTCCCTTCCCGCGAGCTGGGGAGCGGAAAGGCGGGAGAGAGCAGGAGGGCGGGTGGGACCCGGAACCTGGGCCCGGGGCGCGAGCGGGAGCTGGGGCGGGGGACCCGGGGCCAGCCGATCTGGCGAGTCCAAGTCACCTGGGATGGCGAGCGCTGCCAGGAGCACGCCGGTGCGAGTCGCCGCCGCCTGCAGCCTGCTGCTGCCGCCGCCGCTCGGTCGTGGGCTAGCGTGCGGGGCGCGGGCGGGCGGGCGTGTGGTGGGGGGCGGGGGGTTGTTGGCGTCTGTGGTCCGGGCAGCTGGGAAGGCTTCTGTCTCTTTGGTTCCCCCTGTGGCTGCTGCGGGGGGCTGCGGGGCTGCGGGGCTGCGGGGCTGCGGGCGGTGGGAGGGGGCGGGAGCAGGAGGCTGGGAGGGCGAGGGGTTCGAGGGTGTGAGGGTGTGAGTCCTCAGCCTCTCGGGTCACGTGAATATTTATGAAGAGGAAGCCAGGGCTAGGGCTCCGCTGTGGCCTGAGGGAATACAGCTTAGGTTTAGGGAGTTTTGTTTCATCCCTCCTCTCTGCATAGACCATTTACATGATTCAATCAACTACCCTGCGAGAGAGGGTGGGTGCCATTGAGAATACACTTGCCCACTTGCCCGGCCTAAACAAAGCCAAGAAAAATGGTTTTTTCACATTTAGGGGTTTTCCCCACCTCAAAGTACGCAGGCTCTCCAACATCACTGCCACCAAGGAAACAACTTCTATTCCTGTGAGCAGGAACTGGGGGTGTGGAGGACAAGCTCCCACTGCAGCCTGCTGGCCCATTTTCCTAGAGACCCCTCCTCTTTTTCCAGCTCTTTCCTTCTTCTGCAACACTTGCAAAAGGAGGAATATAGAACACAAGAACACTATTCATTCATACATTCATAATACCATGCCACAAATAGTTATGGAGCTGGTGCGGGTCCCTAGGAATACTGGGGTCTGGAGGGCACGTTTTGAGCTTGCCTCTGGGAGTGGACAGTCTGGACTGGCAATCCTGCCCCTGCTCCAGATTATAGGAGAAGGAGGAACCAGGGGTTTTTCAGCCCTCCAGCTCCTCCCGCCCATCCAGACTCAATACATGCAGCCTGGGGTGAGGGGTAGGGGGTGGTCAAGAGCACCCTGTCCTTAGTGCTTGCTGTCTTCCATGATACAGTGAGGGAAACCAAACCAAGGTCTGGAGACGGGGCCTGGTCCCGAGCCAGGCACTGGTTTGTTCCTCACTCAGTTCTCAAGGTGCTGAGGTTCCCAACATGAACCAAGAAAGGCACATCCATGTTCAAAACAAACACAAAACCTAAAGTCTCTTTAGAATGAGGTGCCTGGTCTCAGTTCACCAGCTAATATTTTTGGAAGCCTTATCAGGCACTGGGCACTGGGAGGCTAAGCTACACGCAATTTATGATAAGCAAGCAGTGAGAGTTCATGTATTGAAGATGTAGGGCAGGGTGAAAAAAGGTGGGCAGTGTGTGTTGTGGGAACAGAGAGGCCACACAGGGCCAAATGCCTAGGGGATCGGCAAGCACGCAACCATTAGAGTGGAGCGTAAAAGAGGCTAATGTCCCACTTCAGAAAGGAGGACCCAGCCATTAACTCTTCCTGGTAGGAATCAAGTGACGCTGCACAGAAGATGAAACCCCCAAGGTGAGCTCTGAGAAATGAGCAGCAGTCCACCATGCCCAGGCAGAAGGGAAGGCATTCTAGCCAGAGGGGGTCAGTGCGTGTCCAAGACCCTGTGGCATGCTAGTGATGCCGGGGTTCTTGTTCACAAAGCCGAAAAATGAGCTTCACAAACACTCAAGGTAGGAGAGCAAGGTACAGGCTTTTATTTAGAGGTAAAGTGAGAGGACAGAGCTCCCAGCTCACGCCAGGAGGGGACAACAGAGTCTGTGCTTGGCTCATTGCCTAGAGGTTTTATTGCGCGGTTGAGCATTTTCAGGAATGAGGGTACAGGGTTAGGGGTGCAGACTTGTAAGACCGCCTGCCCTGCCCCCAAGGTGGGCTGGGTTGTTGTCTGTTTGCTTGGGTTGTTTATAGTTGAGATTGCTTACCAAAGTAGTCTTTTGCCTATGTTGCAGATTACTTGATTACGATTAGAGAAGGGAAAATAGCACATAGTTACAATTAAAATAAACTGGGCCTTTTAGCAGGATAAGGTAAATTTTACATTGTCATGATGTAATTGATACAATAAAGTGATGGTTTATGCTGAGATACTTTTCTTTATCTGCAGAACGCTCAAACATTCCAGGCCAAGTTGCTCCTGGTCTTTTGAGCTTTAAGCGATTTCACTGAAGAGTGTCTATATTCCTAGTCATGTATACAAATCTTTACCCTAGAGAATTAGTGTGACTCTGACTTTGCATAATGCTTAACACAGAGTTTTGGTAGGGACTTCTTTGCATATTGTTACATTGTTCTGACTGTAATTATCTTGCTCTGCTTTTTCTCCAGAGGCCCTCACCCTACTCTGCCTAATCCCATGGTCCCTGTCTCCCTAGCACATACGTGGTTACTCCTGGTCAGGCCTCTTAATCTGGCATGGACAGAGTTCATGGTCTCCAAGAGCATATGGCAGGAGATGGGGCTGGAAGGTGCGCGACCCTAAAAAGCAAGTTAAGGTGCTTGGGGACTGTAAACACAAGCTCATGGACACCACTCACCACATTCAAGGAGGGAATTGGCATGATCAGATCTTAGGAAGAGTACAAACTAAACATCAATGCAGAAAGTAGCTAAAAGAGTAGGTCTTCTTTTTTTCTATTGATATGTTTATTATTTTTAATTAATTTCTAATTGAAGTATAGCTGATATACAATATTTTATTGGCTTCAAGTATACAACATAGTGATTCAACAGTTATACACATTATTAAATCCTCACCCTAACTAGTGCAGTGACTATCTGTCAACATAGAAAGATGTTACCCAACTGTTGACTATATTCTCTATGATGTACTTTCATCCCCATGACTGATTTATATTGTGATTGAGATTTTGTGCTTCTTTATTCCCTTCAACCTGTTTCACCCACCCACCCCAAACCCTCCCCCATGTCAACTCCAGTCCCTTCCCAGTGTCTATGAGTCTACTGCTGTTTTGTTATTTTATTTTGTTTTAGATTCCACATACAAGTTAAATCATATGGCACTTGTCTTTCTCCGCCTGGCTTATTTCACTTAGCAAAACAGCCTCTAGGTCCATCTATGTTGTCGCAAATGGCAGGATTTCTTTTTAAAAAGTCGATCTTAAAAGTTCTCATTATAAAGTAGAAAATGTGCAACTATGCAAGGTGATGGATGTTAACTAAACTTAATTGTGGTAATCATTTTGCAACACATGATCAAATCATCATTTTGTATCGTCATTTTGTACACCTTAAACCTATGCAATATTATATGTCAATTATATCTCAATAAAACTGAGAGGGATAAACCCCATCAATACATATACAAATGCACATATGCACACACATACACACACAACTGAGACAGAGCTGACAGAACAAAAAGAAGTCAGATGTGACCACTTTCAAAAGAGTCAAAACAACCCTTCTCTTAGTCCCTCTTTTCCTTCAACAAATAGGGAGTTTCACACTTACCATGACCGGGGCATTGAACTATGTGGGCTGTGGGGTCATATATAAAAAATATGATCAAACATTAGTGCTTTCCATCAGGATGTCTCACTCCACTAAAGCTCAGGCTGCCCATTACAAGCAACAGAAATGCCAGCAGAGGGCTATACGAGCTATGCGATTGGACTATAATGGCCATGGAATTTCATCTGCCCAGCACATAGTCTCTCCTTCCCCTCATTCCCACCCATCCACCTTCTTTGGGTAAATAAATTTGGTTTTTGTGCTAGTAGCGTTGGCTGGACCTGGGCAGTTGCACGTGACAGAACAACCCTCAACCTGCAGAAGTGACCGAGTCACCAGGAGGTGCGAGGCAGTGAGAACTTCCCCATTGTTGGCTGGAAAGCATCCCAAGACACCTGAGAAGCAGACACACAGACATGTACCTTGCCAGCTTGCAAAGTTCAGCCCTCTGCCAGCAAAGGAAAGGGACAGAGACCTGGGTAAAGACTGCTGTACTGGTGCCTGACCAAGGTGATCACTGTCAATGCTGTTAGGTGCCATCTCATGGGGGTCTAGGTTGCTTGTGGGCAGGAGGCCAATGGACTGTACCTCACCTTTGCAAGTGGCCATCCAAAAGGGGCCCAAGGAGGCAGAGGCCAAGGGGGAAGCCATGATTGCTCGGGGTGGGGTGGGGAGTAGGGGATGTGGGGATGATGAGAAGAACTTCTCTGCCCATTGCTAGGAGACAAAAATGACAAAGCGGACCAATTCAAGGACCAGGACTCAACAGCATCTCTTTCTCTGGCCTTGACTTCCAGCCCACAGAGCCAATGAAAATCAGTGAAACAGCAGGGAAGAGAGGTTTCAGTAAGTCATGCTGTGGCCAGCAAATCCCCAAACCTGTCAAATCTGAAGACAACCCCTAGTCCCCTGAACCTCCAGCGACAGGAATGGGGCTATTAAAGTGACAAGGAGAGCTGCTGGAGAGTGCTCTCCAAGTTCTTCCTCACAGAGACCTCCATGGTGGTCCCCCCTCCCCTTTTTTGGTCAGTTTCTGCCATCTGCAGTCAAAAGTATTTTGACCACTAGGTGCTGCAACAGAGGCAAAAATGAAGAGCCCTGTGGAGCATCAGTGGAGGGAGGGAGAGGTCCCTTTCTTGTGGGAGGAAGTGCTCTTCATTTCATTCACTCAGTGATTCCGCAAGTACTAATGGAGGGCCTGCTATGTACCAGGCATTCTTCTAGGCAGAGGGTCCCTGCACTCAGAGAGCTTATTTCATAGTAGGTGAATGACAGACAATAAACACATCAGAAAATATAAAAGCACTTAAAGGTTGCTGTAAATGCCCTCAGGGAAATAAACAACATGATTTGGCACATATTGCCTAGAGCCCAAGAGAAGTGGCAAAGGTCAGGGACAGCCTTTCTGAGGACAATGATAAGTGGCCAGCCCTGCTAGAAACCAGGGGAAAACACCTGCCCAGCAGGGAGAACTGCAGTTTACCTAGCCTTGTGGTGGAAAACAGGGGCCATCAAAGGGGCAGAAAGGATGCCAGGGTGACTGGAGCCCAGTGAGAGAGGGGATGTAGGGAACTGAGGGGGAAGATGTAGTGGTGAGAAGGAGCCATGATGAAGAGTTTGGTTTTTACTCAAAGTGCTCT